TAGATTATGATGAATTTTAAATGAAATCATGTTAATTTTTTTAAACATCCAATTTTTATTATGAAGTTTATGGTGTTTTTCTAAGAGTTTCATAGCGTTTGTTGAGATTGATCTTGAAGGAAGATGTGGTGGCACATACCAGCAGTATGGAAGGCTGAGGCAGGAGGATCACAAGTGTATACTCAGCTTGGGCAACATAGTGAATTCTGAGACCTTGTCTCAAAATATAAAATCAGAAAAGGGCCGGGGGTTATTGCTCTCAAGGAGTAGATGTCGCACAGCCAGCCCAGGTTCAAGGCCTCAGAGCATTGTGCCACCTCTGTGCTCGCGGGAGTCCCCAGCCTGTGAGATTCACCTTGCTTTCATATCACAGCATTTAGGTTCAAGGCTCCAGAGCTGAGCAGGTAAACTCGTGGGTTTTGCAGACAGCACAGCCCTCCATCTGAGTAAGTTGGTGGCTCTTACATGTGTGTGGGTTTGGGCTTGCCCCTTTGCTTAGTGACGTGACAGGAGGAGGCCTGTGCGGCAGGTCCCTGGCCGGCTGGCTGTCTCCTACATGGTAGCTGAAGATCCCTGAAAGCTCTCCTGCAGGAGGCTTATTGTCTGCAGTCACGGTCGCAAGCACATTGATGATGTAGATGCGCTGCCGATAGTTGAGCAGCTTGGCTTTGCTCAGCTACAGTGAGCTCGCCCTAAAACAGATAGTTAGCCCATCGTCAGGGGCCCCAGTACTCTGTGGCTGCAGAACCAACTATCTCAATCTTACTGTAAACAGTCAGTGATGTGGATTCTGTGGCTAGGGTTTGGAGCAGCCTGGCGAGGCTGGCCTAGCTCTGCTCTGTGGTGTCCGGGACCTGACTGGGACTGAAGTTAGCCAGGGCCTTATGGCTCCTGCCCAGAACCTCGGGCTGAGGTGGCCTGGAGATGCCCTCATCTGGGTGTCCAAGAACAAACAGCTCATTACCTTTCTATAGGTCTTGGGTTTCTTACAGCAAGGGAACTGGGAGCCCCTGTGAGGGGGAGCAAATATTCCAAAAAGAGACAGGTGGTGCCTTGTGACTTTTTAGGACCTGGTTCTATGGCTTTCCGCAAGCCCTCCTGTTGCCACACACCCACCTGATGCTGCACAGCCTTCTGGTGCTGCATACCCTACTGGGCTGCACAGCCCCTGGTGCCACAAGCCAGTGAAAATCTGCTCAGATTCAAGCAGCAGAGGAAAGGGAAGTACAGACCCCGCGTCCTATAGGGAGGTCAGTTAAAGTCTGTGCTGCAGTTTCTGTATTCCTGCCACTTGGAATCATGTCCTCACCATGGGATACTGCAGAACACCTGACGATGACTTCCACCTGCAGCAAAGCAGGTCGGGTCACCTCTGTTGCAGCTGCTTGCCTCTCTGCCTTGGAAGAGCAGAAGCAGCCACATCAGCATGACCACAGCACTGCATCCCAATCTTTATTTGTGAAAACTTTTAAAATAAACATTTATAGATATAAGAAGGTGTGGTAGGGCATGCCTGTGAGCCCAGCATTTGGGAGGCTGAGGCAGGAGGCTGTATTCAAGGACAGCCTGGGCTGCACAGAGAGACCCTATCTCAAAAAAGGAAGGAAGGAAAGAAAGAGAGAGAGAGAATCACAACATCTGACCTTTTAATGTTAGAATTTACGAGATGCATGGAAGAAACCCTGGGATACTTCTCAAGTAGAGTTAAACATTAAGACTGTGTGGGTTGTGAAAGTAAAAAATGATTCCAAGTTTCTTATTTATTGTAACATGAATTGGTGAAGATGTAATTTGGAAATCCCAGTCTTTGTTCTGTTCTAGTGCATTTATTTCCTAGTGATGGGTCAACCTATTTACACTTCCAGATGGAAATCAGGGAGATTTATTTTTACCAGAACCTAAAAAAGACAGATAAAATCTGCTTCCTGTTGGAGTCCCAGGGGATGTATTATTGTATGTTTTTAAAGTAAATATTCCAGGCTGAGGGTGCAGCTCAGTGGCAGAGCACTTGCCCCACATGTACAAGGGCCTGGATTTGACCCCAGGTACTGTAGGTGAATAAGTAAGCATCCTGTACTTTAAAGAGGATGTTGATCATAAGGCCAAAAGATAAGGTTCATGATGCTCAGGAGTAAATTCTTTTCATAGTTATTAATGATAAGTATTTTCTGTATACCTAGAATGCCCAGCAGTGTAGTAGATGCCAAAGATGTGGAGGCAGTGAAAAACCTATCCACATGTCAGTCAGACTGTCTTCGTCGCCTTCTCAGCTCTGGACACAATACCCTGTACCACAACTTAAAGGAGAAGATTTTTACTTTGGCTCAGTTTGTGGAGGGTTTAGTCCCGTGGTTGCCTGGCACCAAGGCAGGACTGCCTGGTGGAAGGTCTGGGCAGAGGAAAGCAGCTCACGGCATGGTGCACAGGAAGCAGAGAGAAGGGAGGAGCCAGGGAGGAGATGAACCTTTCAGGCCATGCCCCTGTGGCCGCCGCTCTGGCCCGGGCCCGCCTCCTGACAGCGAGTCCGCCGATCCACTCACCTTACAGAAGCCTCACCTGAGAGGGCGTGAGGCCTTGGGGACATCTAGGTGTACACCAGAACACAGACAGCAGCATTAAGGGTAGTGAGTGAGGGTGTGGGACACTGCGAACGTACCTCAGGGTTTCCAGCTGTACCGGCTTCCTTGCTAGCCCCGGCTGCCCGCTGAATGGGAGAACATAGGAACACAGGACTGTGAGCAAGCTGCTGTTGCAAACTCCAGCCGCACACTTTCTGATGAGGATACAGTCCTAACCCAGTATTTGAACTAATTTTATTTAATTTTGTTTGTTTGTTTATTGAAGTACCAGGAATTGAACACTGCGGCCTTTGAACTAAGCTATATCTCCAGTCTTTTTTATTTTGAGTCAAGGTCTTGCTAAGTCACTTAAATCTTCCAGGACAGGCTCAGACTTGTGCTCTTCCTGCGTCAGCCTCCCAGAGTCCTGGGATTATAGCTGTGTGCCAGCACACCCAGCCTGGAATGCACTTTTAAGAACTGTAGACATCCACATAACTCCTTTTATATTACTTTGGGGAAGGAATGAAAAAAAAAGTTTGTAAATTTGAAATTTGTTTGACTTTTTTTTTCCATGTTAAAATACCACTTTGAAGGGGTATTCAAACTCAGAATGGTTTGGGATCTATTGGCTGAATTACAAATTGGGCTAATTTGATTTTTCTGTAAATCAGGGTTTCTCAACTGTGGCACGATTGACCTTTTTGGACCAAATATTTGGTTCTCAGGAGCTTCCCGGTGTGGTATCAAATGTTCAGGGACACCCCACCCTTTCCTGTCTACTTGGTACCAGTTTCCACCAAGTTGTAACAAATAAGATCATCTCCCAGTGTTTGCCAGCGTCTTTTGGCAGATGAAACCTCCAGTGATCTAAAATAAGATGTAAAATTCAACTGTTCACAGTGCTGCAGTGACACATTTACGTACATCAGTAAGGTCTCCGCTCCAGGCCTGGAATGTGAGTAGACTCGTTCATCTTCCAGACACACGGCTCTGCCTTTGACATGATGAGCCACCCCCAGCAGCCCACTTTCAGGTTAAACTCGAGATGCATATTATTTGGTGACATGTGGAACTTTTTCTAAACTTCATCATTTGTACAATTTTTAGGAAGTCTGAAAACCTCGGTTCTTTTGATTAGGACTCTGAAATCCCCTGGAGTTTCCCTGGAAAACAGATGGTGATTTAAAGGTGGCTTGAAAATAACAAATGAAGGGATTCGCTCCAAATCCCCACGCTCTGCCTGGAAGCCATGAGATTGTGTGAGCCTCGTGGCCCGGTGGAAACGATTAGTTCTCTCGTGGCAGATAATGAATAGCTCCACAGGCCAATTAGCTGTAATTCGATCACTCATTTCATTTGGGTAACATTTTGTTTAAGGGAAAGGAAAACAGTATCGTATTCCTTGGAGATGTGTAATTAAGCTGTGGTATTTGGCGGGCATCTTGGAGGGAAGCAGTGTGCTTACCAATTTCCACCCATTCCTCCTGTCAGAACAGCACTGTGCTCTGTTCTCAGCAGTCAGGAAAGGCGTTGTGACAGCCACGGGTGCTTGTGTCTAACTGCACGCTGCTGCCCGCAGCTGGCAGCTGCGGCTCCCACTGGAGGGCTGGAAATGAGGTGTCCCCCCACTCGGGCTGTGTCGCAGCAGGCGCTGAGAGTTCTCCCCTTCTTGTGTGTGGCCCCGCCCCACCCTGAAAATCTGTTTGAGTCCAGAAGCACAAAACGGAAGCCTCTCTCCTGTTTTCCTCCCCGCTGCAATGGCCCTGTCCCTTGGGATGTGTGCTGTCATGCTGACGCTTAATGATGGTGGTGTAGCATTTGTCTTTCTTTTTCCAGCAAGGACTTTAATGGAAAAGTGTCACTCTTTTTTGAATTTAGGATGTGTGAGAGATATGTAATGCGCCCTTGTCTGTTAGAAACCAGAAGTACTATTTAATTATTGGGCATTGGGGATTTTTGTTTTGTATTTTTTTTAATTGTACTGGGGTGGAACTCAAGGCCTTCACACTGAAGTACATCCTCAGCTTCGCCCCTTTGTAAACAGGGCCTCACTAATTCTCTTAAGTTGCCCGAGCTAGACTCAGACTTGTGCTCCTCCTGCCTCAGCTTCCTAGAGTGCTGGGATTACATGTGTACACTGCCATGCCCAACTATATTGGGCATTTTTAGTCTTAACCCCCATCGTGGTAGAAGACTTGGGTATGTGTGCTTTGGATTTACTCTAAGCACTTTATACTTCATATATGCAGTTTAGGGCGCAAATTGTTCTTTCTTTTCCTGTACCAGGGATCGAACTCAGGACTTTGCGCTTCCCAGCAGGTGTGGCCCCACTGAGCCACATCCCTGCCCAGTGGCACAAATAAATTCGTGTGTTAGGACGAGTGTAACGGGTGATCGTGTTGGGCTTGGCGCTGATTTTGCTCATTTGTTGTCCCACAGCTGGCCAAAAAGATCCGAGAGAAGTTCAACCGGTACTTGGACGTGGTCAATCGCAACAAGCAGGTCGTGGAAGCATCCTACACAGCGCACCTGACGTCACCGCTGACCGCCATCCAGGACTGCTGCACCATCCCGCCGTCCATGATGGAGTAAGCCCGCCCTCGGGGCCGGGCTGGGGGAACTTGCCCACACTCTGACTGCACAGGGCCTGTGCCAGTAGCCAGAGGGTGTGCAATGAGCCCTCTGCCTTCCCACAAGGAAGTGTGACTTGGGCTCTAGTGTCACAAGATTCCCAGTCACCATTGTTGTCACGGTGGAATGCAGGTCCTGGTGCCACAACTCACACTCAGACTATTGTTTGAGCCTGGAAAATTGCAAGGTTTTGTTATGAGCGAGCTCTTTTTTGCGGGGCTGGGGATCAAACCTCGGGCTTTTGTACTGAACAACAGGCTCAGCCCTTTACTTCGGGACAGGGCGCTAAGCTGCCCATCCTTGGGTCATATTTGCTATCCTCCTGCCTCAGCCTCCCAAAGTGCTGGGATTACAGGCCTAGTGCACCTCACCGGGCTGTGAGTCAGCTGTAAAGTCAAGAATACGATAGTCTCCTGGATATGGAAACTTGCTTATTTTAAGGGAGTGCCTTTTACCTTTGAAAGAGTCACACAAATTCATACTTCTCATTCAGAAGATATTATTAAAATTTCTGAAGAAATGCAGTCGCGTAAATTAAAGCAGTCAAGTAGATGCACAGGCAAAGATGTTTTTATTTATTGGCCAAGCAATATTTCTAGCTAGGCAGATGTAAGGTCCCGAGATGCCAATGTCTGTGGAAAAAGCAGTTATCTAGAGGAATAAGGTGCTTAATTTTCAGTTTGATTGTTTTCTGTGTCCTTCAGGGGACAGTGTGAAAGTTTATGCTGTGCTTACTGTGAGTGTAGACATCAATCTGTTTTACCAATTTTCTAGAGCTAGTTAGAGTAAGCAAAAGATCTTAACGTGCTTTTAAAACTATGTGTGTGTAAATGTGAACCAGTGCATGTCTGCCTCTTATTCCCCAGCAATGTTCTCGAGGCTGTGCGAGGGCGGACAGGATAGTTTTTAGGGTTCGTCCGTCCTTTCTTCCACAGCAAGTTTCTGCTGTGGGCCTGTGTGGTTTCCTTTTCTTTGCCTGTCTCTCCGGGCCTCACCCGTTGTGGCCTGGAGACTCCCCGTCCTGCACACGGCCGTTCGAGGTCTGGGACCTCGACGTCCTTGAGCCACAGTCTTCATTTCCAGGATGGGGATGCAGTGCCGGTGACACTGCACTGCCCACTGTGAGCACCCGGCAAAGTAAATGAGAAAATTGCATCAAATGTAGCCCCCTAGATAAAGAGCAGCTTCCCCGGGACAGCAAGCGATTCGTCTCTGCTTCATAAGCTTCTTCGTAGGAGTCAGGGTGTTAGGGGGACTGTCCTGATCTGAAAATGACAGTCAGGTTGGGTTTGGGACCCAGGAAAAATCACTTTCGGGACAGGGAACAAAGATAGCATGATAAGAATTCCCTCAAGATAGAATTCGGCCTTTCTTCTTTAGGGACAGACAGGGCTGGAGACCGGAACCCCTCCACTCCAGCAAACACCTGGCTCCAAACGCCAGCCCTGCGGCGCTGGACCGTGGCCTTGTACAGTTGGAATCTGCAGCTCGCACTGTCACCACTGCCTGGCGAATGTCCCTGTGTCCGACAAGAACTCGCAGCTCCCCTGTGGAGCACCCTGAGTTCCCACAGTGCGGTCTGTCTTTGCTGCGTTGCAGGTGGGGCATTGCCTCCCCGCTGTTCCAGGAACGGTCAGCCCCTCCCGGTTTCAGCCCCAGCACCTGGCAGTTGGGTTTAATTACTGTTTGTTGCCACCCAAATTGATTTAAATACAGGTTAGAGTGAGTGGGTGTCTACTATCAAGAACCATGTGCTCTGGCAGGCGGAGGACGCAGATGCTGAGGGAATGAAGGCAGAAATGTGGTGTCGGGTTTGCACGACTCCTCAGAAATGATGCCAGTGCCGACCACCTCGCTCAGTGGTCACAGTGGTCGCTCAGTGCTTGCCTAGCGTGCAGGAGCACTGAGTTCAGTACCCAGCACCATAAAACACAAACATCAAGAAATGATTCTGTGAACTTCAGAAATGCACACCAAATGTCACAAGCAAATAGGCATGCGTGTAAAGATACACGTGTAAAAACAGAGTGCCACCCACAAAGCGCACACTAACTTATAACCTGCTGGGGGAGTCACTTCCCACCCGTGCACACAAGATGATGGCCGCAGTGCGGGTGTGGATAGGGGCGCACACGCCCACACATGCACCTCAAAAGCCTGCACTCAGTGACTTCCATTTTGAATGCGCTGAGCCGGGCTCAGGTCAGAGACGTGGGCTGAAGCAGCCGTGCCCCCCTTGGTAGCTGGGGAGAGGGCCGGGGATGGTGCAGCACAGGGAGCGTCCGGGACACCAGCTGTTTGCAGCAGGAAGTGACTGGGGATGCTTCCTCCTCTAAGAACCAGTCCACTGGGCTCTGAATGCTGCCGCCTTTCCAGGAAAACAAGGAGCGGATCCGGCCTGATGGTTTTCTAGCCACTTGCTGAGCACAGGCGCTTTCTAAACTTAGAGAAGCATTGCAGCTTTTTAGTGAAGACTCCGAAGCAGAAAGAGGCACCAGTTGTTGGGGTGACCGGGGTGAGAAGCTTGGTCCCAGCCCCTCAGGAAAGTCCTCTCTCTGCAGGCTACACCTGGGGCCCTGCCTTCTGCATCCCGTGTTCCCCCTTCTCTCTGAGAGGAACCCGCAGATTGAACCTCAGGGCTCTCAGACTGGAGTTAAGGGAGACCTTGCTCTGCTGCTAGATCTCAGAAAACAAGCTGGGCATCTTGGAGCACACCTGTCCATCCAGCACTCAGAAAGCTGAGGCAGGAAGATCTCAGGTTGGATCCCAATATGGACAGCTTAGTGACTTAAGTGAGACCTTGTCTGAAAATAAAAATAGGGCTGAGGTTGTAGCTCTGTTCAAAGACTCTGGGCTCAATCCCCAGTACCATTAAATAAATGAGTTAAAAAAATGTTTCACCATGCACTAAACTAAAATCCGAGTGCATTAAAGATCTCAATATTAAGGCAGAAACACTAAACTTGCTGGAAGATAAGTTAGGCAGAACTCTTGAAGACATTGGCATAGGAAAACACTTAACAAGTCCTCAGTAGCACAGGAACTAGCACACAGAATCAACAACTGGGATCACATCTTTAAAAAGCTGCACTGCAAGAGAAATCACCAACAGAGCTAAGAGACAACCCACAATGTGGGAAAAAAATTTGCCAGCTGTTTCTCAGACAAAGGTCTACTATCTAGAATATATAAAGAACTCAAAAAATTCAGACCCCCCCCACAAATTTATAAACTCAATTCAAAAATAGGCATCTGAAATGAACAGACATTTCTCAGACAAAGAAATAAACGCAGCAGATAAACATATGAAGAAATGTTCAACATCACTGGTCATTCGGAGATGCAGATGAAAACAACTGAGATGCCACCTCACCCCAGAAAGAATGTGTGCTGTCAAGAAGTCAACCAATAACAAATACTGGCAGGGCTGTAGGGAGAAAGGAACCCTTCTCCATTGTTGGTGGGAGTGCAGACTGGTGCAACCACTGTGGAGATCAATATGGAGATACCTCAAACAACTAGGATTAGATGTCTGATTTGACCCAGCTATTCCTCTGCTGGGTATCTTTCCAAAAGAATTAAAAGCATCATACCACAGCGATATATGCTCACCCATATTTATAGTGATACAGTTTGTGATAGCTAAAACTTGGAAACAGCCCAATTGCCCATCAGTTGGAGATTGGATAAAGAAGATTTTTTTTTTTTAATAAAATGGAGTACTACTCAGCCACAAAGAACTAGAAACTAGAGACATTTATAGCTAAGTGGATCCACATTGAGGCCATACTCAAGTGAAATAAATAGGACATACATATGTAAATACTGAATAGTTTCTCTGGTGTGATAAACTAAAAGTGTAAATAAGAATCAAAATGTATAATTGATACTGTGTAATAGGGAAAAATGTCTAAAGGGGAAGTGGGAGGGGTAGGGAAAAGCTAAGGGAAAAGAAAAAAAGAGAAAAGGGAAAAAATGGAAACAGTCTCTGTGAATAGGGAAGGGTGAGGGGGGAAGAGAGGGCAGGGGAGTGGGGAGGAATAAGAACCAAGACACATCATGTAGAGGTACAAGACCCCAGTGATGAGTGTAACGGTTCTGTGTACCTAAAATGTACCAAGAAGAAAGGGGAAATAAAGCTAAGAAATGAAGGAAATACCAGGTCCTGCTGGCGCCATGGCCCTTCTTGTTCTGCCCGTGCTCACGAGGTCAGGTAATCAGACAGCCCGGCCCCTGGCACCTCGGCTTCATGTGTCTCGGGACTCTTCTTGGAACGATGACTTTCTATGTTTGTCTGCAGAGGGTCACACCGCAGACTGCACTCTCCCAGCTCATCGCCCTGCCTCCCTCGCGTCTCCGTCTCCGTCCCTTCGACTGCCATTCCCTCCTGCAGGCCATCAAGGCTGCAGCCGCTCCTGGTGGAGATCAGGACCAGAGGGAGTGGAGGGGTGCGGAAGCTAGGAGACTGCGGAACACTTCGTATTCCGAGAACCGACACGGTGACTTCACTGGATGTGTAAAAAGTGTTGCATGTGTTTTTGTTTAGTGAGGCACCTCCTTAGGCCGTGATATCTGTGAACATTAATCCACCTGCACCGCATCCTCCTGGAGCTTCGGACCCGGCAGCAAGGCAAGGAACTCCGCCTGCTCCGACTTAGAATGAGTTTTTCTTTTAATGATAAAGTCTTCGATCAGAAATCAAATTGGAACGGCCCATCCATCCTACGAAGTGATCGGCTGTGTGCTTGCTGCGAGACTCACGGAAGGTTCTGAGTTGACCACCGTAAAACTCTCATGGTCTGCTTGCTTTCTGTATCAGTGTAAAGTCTTGCTCGAGAATCGGCCCTGGGACTATTGCTAAACAATCTGATCTGGAGACGTGCCTCACTGCTTCTGATACTGAATGCCACCCCCTGCCTTTTATAGAATTTAAGCAGAGTTGTTTTTGTGAATTTTT